AAAAAATCATGAAAATCTATTTCACAGTTCTCTGTATAATAGAATTATGTTTAATCAGATCCTGAATTTCGTTGCGGGATTGCGCATACATCGCATTACTCATTCCCGCAGCTTTCGACTTTAAAATGAGGGAAATTGCTGCAAAACATTCATTCAATATAGCGTGTAGGTTAGATGAGTAAATAAATCCACCAAACCATCAGATGAAAACAGCGTGACTGATTCAGCTGCACCGCGTCTTCTCTCTTTGACTTTCACATCGACGCATCTAGAGCTGCTGCACGCTGCGATATAAGACTTTAGCTTGCGTTTCGGGACAGTTGACAGAATTGTCAATAGTCTAATCGGTCATTGTTGCATCGTCACAAAAATGTATTATTTTATTTGTCTTTTTAAGCTATTCGGTACTCGCGCTTTCCTGTGCGCTCACAGTCACATCCAAAGCGCGCGCTGCGAGTACCAAATTGAGAAAGCACTGTCGGTTTTGTCTTAAGTTAATGTAAACAGTTGCGAAATAAAATGAATAGGTCTTGTGACAGCAGCCTAATAAAGCTGTCCTGTCTGTCATTAATGTTAATCAAACAACAAAAGACCCCACTGCTCTTGACTAAATAATGTTTTGTTGAATAACTTTTAATGTTAATTTACAGTTTATTCAATTTCTGTAGCCTATTTAAAACACGTTCATATTTTAGAAAATGTAGTTAATATTTGTATTATTAATTATTTATTTTATCCACCCGCGACCCACTCCCAAATAATCAGAATGCATTTTTTTATTACCCGACCCACCCGTCCCGCGGATTATCCGCAGCACCCAACGTCCATCGACGTTAATCTACTCTCCTGTCTGGTTTGTTTGTCAGACAAAAATTGCAGATTCTGCATTATGTTTGGTCAGATCGTGACCAAACATGGTCAGAATTGCGGTCCTTTAAATTATGATTAGCTTGTTGCTTTGCAAGCTACAGTTTCAAGGTAGCTTCCCCAACACTGGTGCATCCCCCTGTTTGAGTGTTTAATTCTTGACCCCTCCTTCTCAGAGGAGAGCGTTGCAACAATGGAGAACATGGAGGAGAATGTAGAAACAAGGTCAGAATAAGATACTATTGATACCACAACAATACAAGAGCTAAGAGTGACAGAATGTGCAAGAAAGAGAAATGCCAAGCTGGTAAAGGGAGACAGCCATACAAAGGGGGTGGATATGGAGGTTGGTGGGTTGACTGAATGATGGTTGCTGTCAGTAAGGTCTGCCTGTCTTCCTGATCATTTTTTGTTTGTTAAACGTGTTTCCCTTTCACCCTTCGTATTGTATATGCTATTAATTAAGCCTAAGTAAGTTTATGTGTGTCCTGGCAAGTGTCTGTTTGCCTTTGTCCACTGATCAAACTGCAGGCTCAAACCTAATTGGGTCTGTTTGTCTTTGCTTCACTGAGCGTGAGCCAGTTAATTGGTCTACATCCTTGGAGGCTCATCGATTGGCCAGTCCAGTTATCCAGTTATAGGCTTTGTGATGAAGGTGTGGGATGAAACACTTGATCTTTCTAAGCCATGATTGGCTGATAGACGTCCACTTTGATGTGAGAGCTCAAAAAAATATTCAGCTTTCATCCCTCCTATCACCTCACACCAGACCTGGACACAGCATTGTTACTTAGAAACCAACCTTTCCCCATCATGCCTCGGGTATGGCATACCTGCAATTACAGCCACACACATGCAGCAGTCTTGACCTTCATTCTGAGCTGCGAATATGGCACCAAATGTGGGGCATCTGGGGGTTAGGGAGGGTTTTCAAAGCTCTGGGTTGACTTTAAACCCCCCGGCTTCGAACAACCCCGCAGGCTCATGCAGACAAACTCCAGCTGGACCTCAACAACTAGACTGAGATTAAAGATCTAACTGCTCAAACAGAAAGAACACAGTGCTATAAATATGAGGATGTGGGCTGGGATAAATACAGGTTATTAGAATATCTCTTGGTATTTTTGTCAGCTGCAAGGTCCAGATTGTGCTGATCGCGGGAAAAGTAATGGCATTTTAGGATGATTGTGGATAGAGGGAGGAGGAGATGTGCTGCATATATGCAAAATTCATCTAATGACTGTATGCTTCATCTATCTCGCTCTCTTTTTTTCTTTCTCCAGGGCAGGACCGCAGTGAAGCAGCTCTGATAAAGCGTTTTAAGGGGGATGGTGTTCGCTACAAGGCCAAGCTCATCGGGATAGATGAGGTCACTGCCGCAAGAGGAGACAAACTCTGTCAGGACTCAATGATGAAACTCAAGGTGTGTGTGTGTTGGTTGCTTTTTTTATATGGTTACTGTTACTGATTCCAGATTACGTGACAAAAATTGTAGTTAGTAACGTAATCCATTACTTTACACATTTTCGGTAATGTAATCAAACTACTTATTGATTACTTTTAGGTTACTTTTGACCTAAGTTGTTTAACGCATTGACTTAAATAGGATAATCTTGTACCATAATGATATAAAAATACAAAGAGAAAGAAAATATATTCCATTCATTGTTATTAACAACATAAAGTGCATTAAACATTACGTCAAGGCTTTCCAAACTGAGGTTCATGAGTTTAATGAAAGGCTAATAATGAATTAAATCATACAAATGTAATATTAAAGTATTTTTTTAATAACAATATAATGTGACAATTAACCAATGTCAGAGAACTGCAAACATGCAAATGCGTTACTTGATTATTAACTTATTGCCTTAAAATCATAAGGATACTTCAAGTAAATATATTATGTGAAAGGGGTTTGGCTGAAAAAAAAAAGTTTTGTAATCCCTGCATTACATATAAAAAGAAAATGTGAATTTAAAAAGGGAAATGTAAAAGGTGAAAGAAGAATTAGGGATAATCTTTTATTTTTACTTTTTTACATTTATTTTATTTTTACACTTTTTAAATTTTTACAAAATGTTACTGTTATTTTGTGAATAGGTAATTATGTAATCAATAAAAAGTAACTGGAGTAATTTTTGGAATCTGATTACGTAATCCAGATTATAATTCAAAAAAATAATCATGATGTAAATAATTATGATGAATATGTTGCAGGGTGTATATATTTATTCATTTTTTGCTTATTTATTTATGTATTTCACACTTTTATTGAAAATATTTGTTAAGATCAATATAAAATCTCCCTTTTGGGAAGTCCAGGCACGTCTTTGGAAAAAATGCAGAAAAAAAATTAACATAAAATAATTCATATTTTTGTTAATTTTCAAAAATGCAAATGTTTTTTTCATGCATGTGCGCCCCTGATACACACAAGTAGACATTGATACACATTGCCTTGATGCCTCCGAAAATCAGTGTCTTATTGTATGTTCGCTATACATCGCACCCTTTTCACCAGCGTTTAGATTGGTTTCTTAGTGTGTTGGAGAGGGAGGGTGATTTTGCCGTCTGATTTGCATGTTGGTCTGATTGGAATGTCCAGACTGTTATTGATCAGAACTGTTTACCTCTCACTCATCCAGACACATAATCTATACTCATATTCCCACAGTCGTCCACTCCTTAGCAAACAAATGAGTCCCATAGTGTCATTTTTAATCTCTTATTCCTCTCTCACACTTTGTATGTCTCTCTGTTCATCACGCTGTCGGTAAAAAGAGTTTAAACAACAGTTTGACTTGAGTCTTTTCATATAATCCCCATCCTCCCTTGATAATCAGCCCACGTAGCGCTATAAAAACTTCCTTAAGTGTCTGTCCAGCTTCTCCTACAGAGGAAGCTCTGCTCTGGCCTTCCCCAGGCGCGCCGGACTGCAAAAAGAGATTCACATCTTATATTTCACGTCTGCATCTTTTCTTCACTCTAGCAACACGTATGCACACACTCCCACTTCTGAGTTTGAAATGTCAGAGCTGATCATGACGGATGATGCTCCCTGCGCAATCGGAAGGAAGATCAAGAAACAGGCTCAACTGATTGGCAAGGACGTATTATGGTCCTGGAAGACTTGAGGACTCCAGCTGTTCTGAGAAATGCCCAAACACACACCTTGGAATGGGTTGGATATACAAAGCAAGCTTTATTTCAGAACAAGTTTTGGCTTTTGATTGATCATAATTGCAGTTTTACATTTTGCAAATCTGACTTGACAAGTGGTTTATGAAAATATACAGAACGAGTGAGAAAAATGTAAGTTGATTTTGGTCTTAAGTGTGATATTTCTCATCACAGTGACTGATTCTGAAAAGGCGGTGCACAACCATCTGGGGTGGCACTTTTTTCTTCATACCGCTCTCAGCTTCTCTATCGCTCATTCGCAGCAGTGTTACAGAAGGATGGTGCTTTCCATTCATTCTACCCCTCTTGTTGAAAATGAATTGTGTCCGGTGTGAATTGTGTGTGGGTGAACAGTACAGATAAAGCATGTCTGTGTATTACAAAATAAAATGCATTGCTATTTGGTTTATTAAAAGTGCAAAATGTACTCATGCATTCAAAAATGTGTTAATATACTAAGAACTAAAAGTCACCTTCATTTATTTGTAATTTAATAATGTTATTTTGTTTTCATGTTTTATTCAATTGCTGTTGACTAAATATTATATTTGCAGTGCTTTCTGCCGGGTAATTATGAGCCTTTCAGATTGCTGCCCCTCGTATATTGTAAAAAATTATTGTAATTTTAATGGGAAAATATTATAAAAATGCTACTGTAAAAACCTGTTAATGATTAGTTCCCTTGCTATATACAGTGGTGGTAATGTATATTCTTTCTAAATATTAGTATACTTTGGCTTGTGGAAAAGCTTTGATTCTACATATGCATACCTTTTCTAATTACCATCTGTGTTTTTTAGTGGTTGTCATAATAGGTACAATATAGATTTTAGTACTTCTTCAGTAGGTTGGTAAATCAATATTATATTAGTGAATTATTATTATTATTATTATTTTACTGTAAATTTCAAATGGAAGTGAAACAGTCAGTCAAGTTTACATTATTTAGTAAAGTGATTTCCATAATTAAAAAAATATATAACAAACACAATTAATGTAACCATTTCAAAGGAAAAAGGGATGTTTTGTTGTAGCTTTTGGAATAAGGGCGCCTCCATCCTGCAATACACAGTGTGGGATGTCACGGGGTTGGTTTGCTCCGTTGGCCAGTGAAGTAATATAAAGTTCTGTATGGTATGGTAAAATATAGAATTTTTGTTTTCAGTGTAGGCAGAGGCCCCAGGCACTGGTCTAACTGGCCCTATATTCATTCTTGCCTATCTTGGTCAATCCACCAGTCATCAAAAGAAGCAGTGATCCCTGAGGGGAAAAAAAAAAAAGCTTCAAGGGCTGTTGCTCCACATTGGGCTTTTAAGTGTTATATTTAAAAGTGAACAGTCAGCATTTCAGTCTCTGGCTGATAATTCAATAGACTTAAATGTTCAAGAAAATAGTTTCTTTCTATTGTTCTCTCTCGTTTGTCTTTCTCTCACACAGACAAATAGGCTGCATTTACACTGTCAAACAATTCATATTTTTCCAACAAACATGAATTTCCAACAAATTTTCAAACAATTTCATATATTAATATGTGGCATTTTGAATGTATGTAAAAAACAAAACAAAAGCACATATGGGATCTTTATTCATTCATTTATTTTTTTGAGTGACTTGTTTTAAATTTGTATTTTACTTGATAACTGTACATAACAATTTAAAGTTATTGGCTGGCATGCGAGCAATAATACCAAATAAATTAATATCATTTATATGTTTTATATTCCTTGCATCTGCTGTAGAATGACCTATTACAAAGTAAAAACACTCCAAAACAGGGACAAAACTTTGGAGTGTTGGCCAATTATTTATGTGTGTGGTTCACACGGTGATGCAAGTTTAATTTGCAGTTTTCTTGCTCTTTGTTCTCAAAACAATGGTTTATATGAGATTACATTATTTTAAGCCATGTTTTGGATGATGCGTATGTAAGAGGGTAAAGAAATTAATTATGAATTGTGCTGGAATGTTTGCTCATGCTATAATGCAAAATGCAAAATGAGTGATGCAAAATGAGTGAAGTCAGCCATTTTCTCTTGAGTTTCATGACGGTTTTGTGACCGGATGAGCAGCATTTTGTATATTTGGTGTTTTCTCGTGTATTCTCAGTAAACATTCTTCATAGATGAGCTCAGTCTATCATTTTCGTGTGGTCCTTTGGGGAAGAGTCGAGTAGAAGAACTGGAGGGGGTTGCGCATGTAATTTTGAGTGAGAATGGTTTGATATTTTTACTTCTGAATGACCGTCAGTAGAGAAAGATCAGCAGAATGGTGTAATTACAGAGTATCGGATGTCCCCAGTCACTCTGAACCAGCTCATCCCTTACCAAAAAGAAGTATACTTTAAGTTTATTTTATTAAGTATATTTAAGTAAAGTTCAAGTATATTTTTAAGTATACTTTATGTAGTAAGTATACAAATATCAGTGTACTAGTAGTATACTTGTAAGTGTACTATTTCAATACGCCTTGGGATTAAATTGGCCCACTTTCTAGTATATAAAAGTATACTTTTAAGTATACTTTAAGTATAACAGTAGTAAACTTTGAGTACACAGCTAGTTTACCTCTGTTTTTAGTTTGTACTGCAACTATACTAAAAGTGAACTTAAAGGTATACTGATAGTTTACTAATTAGATACTTGTAGCATTTTTAGTACACTTTGAAGTATATTCTCAGTAAACTAATAGTTTAGTAGTTTTATACTGCAAGTATACTTGTAAGTTCTTTAAGTAAAATTTACATCATACTTTAAGTATACTACTATGTCCCTATTTAAGAATGTGTATATATTTTGTTATATGAATATCTGAACATACAAAACATCAAAAGAAAGAACAGGGTATCTACTACTAAGCAAAAACATTTTATTCTAGCTTCATGCATTCTTTTTTATAAACATTTGAATGGGATAAGTTTCATAAATAAAAAATAAAGAAATAAATAAACAACATTTTAAACAAAAAGCTGAAAAAAGGCTACGACGTAGTTGGAGTCCAAAAGCTTGACAATCGTTATTACCTCTTCATGGGTCACCAATTTTTTAGTTTAAAAGAAGTATACTAATAGCACACTTGAATACACTTCTTTTTCGTAAGGGATATCAGAACCTCCAAGCCCAAAATTGTTGAAAACAGAGAGAAAACAAATCAATTTCTTTTCATAACAGCTAATTCTCCCCAAGGATTGCAGCAAGTAGCAAAAGCTGACGTTCCCTGCTCTGTTTCTGTTTTATCTTCATTTCTTTCTTTTTTCCCCTCATGTTTCTGTTTTCATCTTCTTGTCTGCAGGGAATCGCAGCCTCTGCGCGGTCTAAAGGAGAACACAAACAGAAAGTTTTTCTCACTGTGTCCTTTGGAGGGATCAAGATCTTCGATGAGAAGTCAGGGGTGAGTCGGGGCAGTGCCTGAGAGTCGGGGGTGGGCGAATGGGGGAATTGTGTCTTGTCACTACCCATGATCCTTTGAAGCAAGTGTCTGAGCCACAAATACAAATCCTCAGATGCCTAACCTGGTTTCTGTTTGTTTTATCTACAAAAAGGACATTTTGGGTTTTTCATTACTTTGGAGATATGTTGTAGCTAATATCTAGTTGACATTTTTTAGTGGGCGGGGGCAATTGTGTCCTGTCACTACCCATGATCCTTTGAAGCAAGTGTCTGAGCCACAAATACAAATCCTCAGATGCCTAACCTGGTTTCTGTTTGTTTTATCTACAAAAAGGACATTTTGGGTTTTTCATTACTTTGGAGATATGTTGTAGCTAATATCTAGTTGACATTTTTTACTTTTCTTTTTATCAATGTATTGATCAGCGGCAAGTGCTATAAAGCAGTTGGCATTAGTAAAAACTTCAGTGGGAGAGCTAATTGCAACAACAAACACAGGTGATTCTTAAGAAATGGTTCTTTTTAATGAGTCAGTCAAAAGGATTCATTATACAGGATGATCTTGAATTAGCTTGTGAGTTAGTGATTTTAATCAGACTAAAGGCCTTTTCACACTAAGAGCTATAAATTTGAGATATCATCTAAAACGATTACTATTTTAGCGTTCACACCAACAGATGATAACGTTCTGTTCATTATAAACTCAAGCTGACTTTATGTTGTACTGTCGCTTTAAATGCTCAAGCTCATTAAAAACAGGTAGATTCTGATTGGATGTCAATGTTTTTATTGTTTATAAGATGGAAAAATAGTTTTGAAAGAGATTCCGACAATATTGTTCGTCTGTATCGTTATTGTGGTGTGGAATTTCCCAATTGTTGTCATAGAATGATTATTGAAAATTTATAGTTATAGTTATTGTTACAAGTGAGTGAATTGAAATTGAAGTTCAGAACTAACTTCCTTACTAAACTGTGAGTCAATTGTTGGCTACGTTGAAACCCAAACTCTCAGTGAGATATTTTAGTTTATGAAATTTTATTTGGTCTGTTTACTGACTGATTGTTCATATCACAATGTGTAATTAAAAATACATATTCACAATAATAAATGGTATTCTAGCTAAGCATTCAAATATATTGCAAAAAATATTATTGGTTATTGTTTAGGGTAAGAAGTACAGTTTTAAAGTGCCCCTATTATGGATTTTTGAAAATGACCTTGCGTGCAGTATGTATGTAAGTGAATGAAAACATCCTGCACAGTTTTAAATCTGAAAGTGCACCGTGTTTAAAGTTATTGTCTCTCAAAAGAAAGAGTCGACTCTGAAACATTGGAACGAGTCTTTTTTAAAATGAATCCCAGGCCGTTTCATGTTGACGTCAACATGAAACATTAACATATTGCCCGCCCACTTGTTAGTCTTTTCGCATTGGTCTGAATGAAAATGCTTATTCATTCTTTGCCACTAGGTGCCGCTTTTGGAGCAGTAAAAATAGGGGTTTCCCCGGTAACGCTGTACACAAAGCAGCACTGTGCTTACAAACACTGCTTTATCAGGCATTACAGGCATGATGAAATGAAACTGAGACCAATTGGACCAATCACCGCAGATTAGCGTCACACAGAGGAGGGGTTTGGAAAATTGAATCGTTGAGCAAATCGTTTGGGAGTCGTTGAGCACGCAAGGCAAAAATAAATGCATATTATAAGACAATGAAAGTGTTTTTTGACCTTGCATGCATGTCAACCTGTTGTTGGGGACTCCCAAAACCAAAATATGAACCTTTCATTACCCATAATAGGGGCACTTTAAGGGAAAGTTTGTTTGGGACTAAACAGGCATATTCTTGAAGTATACTCTTAAAATATTTATATGGCAAAAATACAGTTAGAATTACTAGAGTGTACATCTGTGTGAAATATATTCATTTATACCACAATAAACCAGTGTTAAAAAATCTTTCATGTAATTGCACCACATCATCTGTCTGTGACCGGATGAAATGTGTACAGGCCTTAACATTTCTGTCTGCACAAAAATAATAAGTATCAGTTATTTCACAGACATAACTCAGAAATCAAAGTGGAATATACAATTCTGTTTGTGGATATCTAGTTTATAGTCTCTTCGAGAGGCCCTCATCTTCTAGGCCTCAAACGTTTGGGTCGATGGCAAAAGATGGTTTGTGTGTGTTAGCTTGCAGTTGCTGTGAGTCTGCTCTGCGTCGGATGTGGGTGAAGCCATCCTTTGGGAGAGGTAAGCCTGTGTTAATGATGCGTTTTAAAGAGAGGAGCGCTCTCCGGGGAAATCAGAGAAGCCTAATTGAACAGACTTCTTAGAATAGAATGACCGTAGCTTTACAAGACCCATCTGCAGGGCCTTGCGCCATCTTGATGGAGAGTAAATGGCAATAACAGCTAGTGATTCACACCTGAGCTAGTTATAAACGGAGGGAATGATGCTTATTTATGAAGTATCAGACCGGATCACGTACGCCTAAGTGCTGTTCCACAGAAGGAGAGTTTGAAAGAGGAGTTCACTTTTGGACAGATATTGATTTGCCTCTTTCTTTCTTGCTGTGAAGTGCCATTGAGCTCTTTTGGTTTGAAACCAGCTTGGAGCTTATTTTTTTAAAAAGATGAAGCAAATCCCACAGTGTTTTTTTTATTTATTTATTATTTACAGTATTTCACAGAAATGTGAATAGCATAATTTATCATTTCAATTCAGTTGTAATTATTAGTTTTTGATGATATTTTCATGTTTTTGTTCTTTTTTACATTTACTTAAAGGGGAAATCGGATGTCCATTTTCTACAAGTTGGTATGATTCTTTAGGGTCTTAATGAAATGTCTACAACATACTTTGGTTAAAATTATTCAGTGGTCATGTTAAACAACACCCTTTTACCTTGTCAAAAATAGCTCGTTGCCAGTGTGGCTGCTGAATCTCTGTTCAGGGTTCTGTGTTTTACCGATGAGTGCCGGTGATAAATGAGAGGTTAGTATGTGAGCACAGTGTGCTCTGTTGTCATGGCGCCAGGAGGTGACCTACATGACAAGGTTTTAATCTGTCATTGATGCGTCTGATCTATTAGCACCATGACCTTTTATTCTCTTTTGTGAGTGTATATCTGTGTATGTTTAATTATCAGACAACAGTTGCATCACTACAACATTTATCATGCTGTGCTGCTGTTGGTTTAGCTCTGAATATACTACAGCAGTGACATTTTATCACATGTCAGACGTCTGTACTGTATATTTGTTGCCAGCTATGAAACTGAATTTCATTTTTGTAGCAAATGTGCTCTAAGGGTGTTTTCACACCTGGCCCGGTGTTTCGGAACCTGGCGCGTTTCCCCCCTTAGCTCGGTTCGTTTGGGCATATGTGAACACGGCAATCGCGCCAGGATCCACGACAAAACAATCGGTCTGAGATCGCCTGAACGAGGTGGTCTCGGCTCGATTGAAAACGAACTCTGGAGCGGTTCGGTTGTCATGAGAAAGCAATCCGATCTAATGGATCAACAAACCAGGCTATATCACAATGTATAATTGGTAATTACGTAAGTTCCGTGAAAAGCATTAGCTTTGTTGTTTTGCTAATACTTCAAAATGAACCTGT